TATAGTACAATCGTTTATCGGTGCAATTTGTTGATCGTATACTTGAACTATTGTACCAGACAGCTAAAACTTATTATTATTAACAAACTAACAACTATATGCTATCAGTACAACTCGTCTAGTTCATCTTGGTACTTGACATTCATCACGATCTTTTAAAAAAAATGGTCCAAAAACTAGGTGTCTATATGTTTTTCAATATCGGTGGCTGTCGACAGTATATATAGTTTTAGGACTACTGCAGATATATATATATTTTTTTAATTCGAAACGATTTTGAGTGCCAAGGCAGTTCGGACGAGTTATATTATTAATGCATAATAAATAGTATTTTACCTCCAATACAGTGTTTAGATCGATACGATATTATTATCGTGGTCTGTCCACGACCAGGGCACAGACGATAAAAAAAWAAATAACGCAATATTAATCATAACAATATTATTCGAATACTTGTGATTTGTCTTTTGCAGCGGTAACACTTTCGAGGGCCAATGGCAGAACGGCAAGAGACACGGGTTGGGCGTTGAGTCACGGGGTCGGTGGCTGTACAGAGGAGAATGGACACAAGGTTTCAAGGGCCGGTATGGGGTCAGACAGTCTGCCACGACCAACGCCAAGTACGAGGGAACTTGGGCCAACGGTCTGCAAGACGGCTACGGGTCGGAGACGTATGCCGACGGTGGTATGGATTTAATATTAAAAATGATCATATATTATGATATTATAATATAATTTATTGTAAATAAACAACGAATACGAAATTATTATTAAAATATGTAACAAACGAGTTGCAAGTCCATCCGATTAGCATAATATTATACGCTTGAATACAGCCGAGTCGAGTTCGTGTTTAAACTGTTTAAAGTGAATTAAAATTTAAAAAAAGTTAAGTTACTTATTATCATTATTTTAATAATTATTATTTATTAGTATGCTATCAATAATACTATTTAACCGTTTAAAAATAATAAAATAACGTTATGCAATAATGACGAACGGTTGTCGCGTTTCGTTTCAATATTCTGCTCGAAATTAATTGTTCAAATGAAATGGTATTTCAAAACTGATTGTTTTACTTTTCGCAAAACATTTCAAAGCAGTTATGAAAATAATATTTATTTTTCACACATATCTTGATTTATATAATTGTACATTATACCAAAATTCCGTAGTGAATGATTTTTCAACGTTGATAGCAGTAATTCAGGAATTAATTTGTGAATGGTTATACATTTATCAGTTATCATTGGTAACTTACAACTTATTACTACCTGTGTATTTTTCATGGTTTTTTTGAACCAACTGATTGCGTTAATTTTCCTTTGTAATTATCAATCCATATAAATGCGTTGTAGACTGCAGTGTTACTACACTAATTACATGATTAGTATAATAGGTATTGTATTTTGAAATAATTATCAAAAAACTTTAATTAGTACCTAACAAATACCAAGTAACGCATAAAACATAAGAATTTCTTTATTTATATATTTAAAAGTTGTTATGACGTCTGTCCTAAGTTATGCTTATAAGATTGTGACAAGAGTGTATGTTAAAATTGTTTTATACCTATAGACATTTAAAAAAACTTCTACATTATACTTTAACTGTTTATCTCCGTTTCTTACTACAATAAAATAAACATATTTTAATAAAAGTTATCTCTGTCTATGTATACAACTATATTATATCAAAATATCGTTTTTATATTTTAAAATCTATTTTTATTTTTCACATAAGAACGCACATCTATAACAAGACTGCTACAACTCAACATTCATCAATTTTGATTTATAGATAATTTCAAATAGGTAAAAAATTGCTTTATTAAATTATAAAAAGATGTGTTAGTATATTTAATTTATCAATAATTTTATACCAAGAGAAACAAATTGAATGTTAGGCAGTATACTTATGATGTCAGTTTATTTAATTTRTCACTGATGTCAAAATTCAAAACTGCCTTATTACCATTTGAATTTTCCTTGGACTACATAAAAATTAACTATCGTCTAATAATATATGTTGAGTGCAAATCAGCTGTATTTATAGTTGTTTTGGCAGATATTTCATTTTATAGTTTGTTATATTATAGCACTCACAATGTGAAATTCAATAATGCCAAATTTTAGTATATTATGGGCATTTTGGCTGTCTTAAAATCAGTTTCTGTATGCAATACGGCCGCATTTCAAAGTATGGCAGTCTTTCATTTACTTAAAAATTGTAAAAGACCACAATTATTAGTTTTTAGGTTTGAGATAATACCTATAATATATTTTTAAAAGCCATTAGGTAAAGTATGTTARCAAGTATTTAAGTTTTAAACCGATAGAAARAACTCTTTAAAATATCTTAGATTCAAACTTCAAATCGATTTTTCTCGAAACCATACATTTTGAGTCGGGACAGTTTTGTTCTAAAGGTGCGATAAATGAAATATACTCTGATGAAATAAATTTCATAACATTTTAAAACCCCGGATTCCTACCAACGTTGTATATTTTTTTCTTTCATTTTCAACTCGACACGATCACTACTCACCATAGCGCATAGTCTAGCTGACAGTTTTTCTACGCACAATAATAGGTCACGACTCGAGATGTGAATAATATTATAATAATATGCTGAAGGAGAAGTACTGTATGCACATGTAAAATATATACTATCGACTCGAGTACCACCTCGCAATACGCAGTTATATAGATCACGAATGACGAATAAGAATTTTCCGTCCTTGCTGTTTTTKTTCCTTTCAAAGGAGAACAATATTATAAATCAATGCTGGCTTACATATTTCCAAAGATATACATAAATTAAATTAATATTTTATATACAGAGTACGTAGATATACGCCTATTTTTTACCTTGGTAAAAAAATTATTCAAATTTTGATTTTCGAGTTAAATCCTAGATTTAAAACAAAATATTTAGTTTATTATTTTAATTTTAATCTAATAAAAAATAATAAAATTATTTAATATAAATAAATATATCCACTTAAGGCTATAGTTTTATATTTATGTGATTTTTTCGTATTAAGAAGTGTTCTGTGGTGTCACAAACTTCTGTTTCTCAAATGAGAAATGTATGCTTATCAAAATCAAAATTTCAACAAGTAGTTTTAACTATTTGCACTGAAGGAACTGACATGATAATAGGTTTGAAAGATATAAATTAAAATGTTTGAATAATTTATATAAATATATATTATTTAAAATTATCTATACTTAGCCGATTATTACTCAGAACAACTATCACAACATTGTATTTTGTTAAATTCTTATTGTTTGTGAACTTGTAATAGCATGTGATATGCTGACAAATTTAATTATATTACCTGAAAAATAAAAAATAATCCAAAATTAATAAATATTTTATCCAACATTACATATTATTCTATATTTATATCATTATAAAACCATTTTTATGGACAGTTATCATAACTAAGAAACAACTCATTAGAATTTGAAAATTACATATCTACGTCATCATTTTCAAAAACAAAAAATATCTACTAAATAATTTAAAGTAAAAAATTGGGGTTCACATTTGAAATAACAGAAAATAGAAATGCTGCAAGATATCCCTTAAGTAGTAATATATTGAAAATATAATCTAGAATGGGTTAGATTAAAAATGCCGAAAAAAAGAATTAGAATAAATAAATTAAAAATGTTAGTTTTGTGAATCATTCTGTAAATTTTTTTTATTTTATGTCTGATTTGATAAAAATAATATAATAACGTCGCCATTACTGTAGCATTTATATCAATATAAAATAATAAATAAATGTAATGATTGAATACCGTCGATATTACGCATCTTTTTTTTTTCAAATTTAAATTTGATTTTGTTAATTGCTCACTGCAGCCTTAGAAGGTACGTAGAATACTCTAATAAATTATATCCGATGTCGTGAARAAAATAATATAATAACGTCAACAGTGACCTTTGTAAAAAAATATTATATGAACACAATACAAAATTGCACTTTTTGGGATTTATTTCACCATTCTGTCTGCGTATTATTATTATATACCTCCTTGCAAGAAAACAATTTTTCATACACAATATGAATTTTTTCAATATAAAATACACCACTGAAATTGCTCATAATATATGTATCATACAGTATGATTTGTAGTGTTTCTTTGGATATAGTCACAAAACTATTCAAGACATCGCATTTTGTATGATATATTATATATATTATTGTTAGTATTATATTAATATTACCACTTTATTATAATTTTATTTTTCTTTCCAAGGTGAATTGAAAATGTGTAGGCGTACGCATACAAATAAAATCCTTTTGAACCTTTTGATTTTCAATGTAAACAATTTATTTTCAATGTATAAAATTACAAAGTTTTTTTTACATTCTTCTTTATATTTTATTTTTACAATATTTTAAAGGTTATAAGTAGGTGGGTATAGTCACGCAAGTGCAGACTGTAATAAAAAATTCAAGATAGGTATGGTTATACCTAATAATAACATTAAAGTATTGATGATATTAAAATAATATCACGAATTCCCTTCAATTTAATGAAATAGCTACACAATTCGGTGAATATGCCTAGTACCTACTGCAGTTATTTAATAATTATTATTTTTCTTTTACCATTACGTGAAAATTCGTCAGCAAAGTATAAAGAGGTTGTACGTTTTACGATAAATTATAGTAATTTTCATATCATTACATACGTGTAACAAATTTGTAATTAATTTTCCTTTAAAACGCAATACTACAATGATATTATGATTATGATAGTTTAAACGAATATTTTTTTTTTCTATATTATATTATGTTAAAGAATTATTTCGTYAATATATATTCACAATTAAATTAATGGGTTAATTGATTTAAACGTATTATTTTATAAAGTATTAATGATTTTACTGATAGTAAATTTTAAACAAGGAATGTTTTTTTAATTTTACACGCTAAAACGTATTTGATAATTTTGTAGTTTTATTACAAAGTAAAAGGTTAAACAATTTTCTACTGTACAATTATACTTAAACTTTTAGAGTAAATTTGATACATATTGGCTCATTTTGAGATTTTGAGAACAAAATGTATTTTTTGCACGATAATACCCATCTAAAATACTTCCCCTTGAAGCTTTTCACTCAAATATTAAAACGAACACAGATATAAGTAATATTTTTCATTATTAATTTCTGATAGGGTTTTAAAATGTCATGAAATTTATTTTCTTGTAATATTTATTCCTATGATGTACCTATACAAAATAAAAATAAATTGTTCATTATGTCTTAAAGTGTATTCTATAGTTTTAAACATATCGCAAGAGAACTTGTTTAAAAGTTGGTTCATCATAACAAATAATAACAAGTATTTTATAAATGATAGCCAATATTGATAAGTGATAACGAATAATGTAATACAATTTGAAATGAAACAATTAACATAGTAATTCGTAAACCTTGGTTGAAAAGTCTTTCATTAATATTGATTATCGATATTTTTAGTGTATAATTAATACTCATCTATAATCGAATAATTTCAAAATAATAAAACTATATTTTTCTCAATTTCATTAAAATATTTCAAAAAGAGTAAAATTTTTAATTTTCAAATGAAACATTTCAAATTCAGAACTTTAATTCCAGACACCTTATGAATTAACTGTGGATGTCAGCCAAATTTTTTTCAACTATTTACTAACTCTATAATTTTATATATAATTGCTTATTAAATTGATCAATGTGGTGTAATGGCAATAAAATTTAATAATTGAGACGGATAATATTTTATTATTCAGATTTCTCAAAATTAATTATGAAATACGTAGCTATTATAATAAAATATTATTTTTTTTACTTCTTGTTTGAATATTGTTCTATGAAATAATTATCTAGAAAAAATTATAATCKAAAATTAAATAAATATTAACATTAATAGTGTGTCACTCAGTCCTGCAAAAGTCGTTAAAATACTTTGTTGACTTACCATGAACGCACAATCAGCTCGTTAAATAATGTGCAGGTAATATTCTAACACATCGTATAATAAACGTTCATTTGTGTTAAACTCTATGTGACATTAATTTTTTTACCCTCGTTATAGTAGTTTAAGTCTCATGGCCATTAATAATTCGRCGATTTCCGTGGCTGGTTAAAAATTCGTTTGGATGTTTTTTTTTTCAAGGGACGTTTCAAGGACAATGGATGCGTGGCATGAGACACGGATATGGCGTCCGGACCAGTGCTCGGTTCGGGATGGCATCTCATTCCAAACCAAACAAATCGGATATCCAGAATTCTCTGTCGTCGTTGGGTAGCGATGACGCTCACAACAAGGTAGGCAGCGCGTCCGAAGACCAGGTAATCGGTAGCGAGGGTCGTGACAAGAAGTTGGACGACACCCGCGGCGGKTTCGTGTTGAAAGCCAACAGCGACGAGCAGCCGAGCAAACACAAGACGCTGGTTTCCAAGTCCACCCACAGTCTCAAGAGGACATTTATGTCTGTAAGTAAACGAGTGGGGCGACTGCTATAATAATATTATTAATTATTGCGAAAACAAAACGAAATCCTTGTGGCCGGTAGAATACCTACAAGAGTGATCGTTTTTACTGCCATAAACACACTCGATATTTCGACCAAAGTAACCCAGATGACCTATCTCTCAACACTAACAAAATATCTTTCACGTTACCTAATATAAAATATAAATGTTAGAACTGCGAACCTTTAGCATCGCCATAATACTGTAAATATTTAGGTAAAAAACTTATAACAGTCGTGTGTAGATTATATATTTATATTTACGATAGGTACCTATATGTATATGTAAAAGACTTATTACGCCTATAAGTGAGTAAAAAGTACTTGTAAGTTAAACTGACGACCTTAAGTTAAAACTCGACCTCCAAAATTTATGTTATAAGTTTTTGGTTACACTATTTTTGGTATTTGGTATTATATAAATAAATGGATTTCTGTTTCACGAATTTCAATTGGTTTTGATTCAAGTACCTGCTGTTATTTAGATTGGACCTGTTTAAACACAATCTCCAAGAAAACCTCGCAAGCTGCCATGTTTGTTAACTTACCTATAAAGCTTCAAGTAGTTATTTGAACTCGAAATATGCGAAACAAAATGCTTGGCAGACAGCCCATGTCGATAAAGCGAGGCGCGGAGTTGTTATAATATTCTCGGAATACCGATGAAAACCTGTACGATGATTTTCGACATTCCAAGTGGAGGGTCCGCACTTTAAGTTCTACCGCCCCCGGTCGTAAATCTGCCTCTGYGCAGATCAATCGTCGTCCACGTATGCTTGTTTAATAATCGCTCCAAAGGAGATGGAAAGTAAATATATTTTAAGGACTATTTATACACCGCGAATCTATATTATTATTATGAATCAGATCATTCGTTGCCAAAATYGYTGAATACTGTAGGTATAGTATACATATATGATACACTACGGTATTATCATCATCGGGTAGTGTTTTTTWWAATCTTTTACCGGTYCGTTATTTGGATTGACACGTCAAACAATGCGTAGAATAATGTATGAATATACTCAAGTCGATCGATTTTATAATSGTAAACCATGTCACTGCGAACGATAAGTCGTACTAGCAATTGTTATTAATTCATGTGCAGTATTCGTGTCTTTATTCCATAATCGTTTTCAATGTGTACATTGTTAGAGTCTTATTATTTAGATGAATGACGAATGAGATAGACAAGTATTATATAAACACAGATGGACAAATAATATAAATGGAAAAGCAACACACGTATAGTCAGTTGTGATAATAAAGTTGGCGTTTAATAATTTATATTCTCATTCAGTACCTATTATGTTTCTGCATTTGACAAAAAAATACTAACTAAAACGATTGATTTTTCTTCTTCCGTTCGCCATAGATGGAAAAAAAGAGTTGCTCATGTTGTACCTACCGTTTTCMACATTTTRTAAGTTTCTAATTTATTAAATGTTTTCAATGTCATTTTTGAAAAATTTGCAATTTCTAAAATGTACCGAGTGTCAAACACAGGAAACTATTCTATTGATTGGGCCACCCTATTCCTTGACTGGACAGCATACAAATAAACTTATAAATAGTAAATACATTTTGCTTACATACATTAGTCTATTTTTTATTGTATTTTTTGGGTGATTTGATACAATATATGATTATGTAGTAAATACAATATGTCCGAGTCACATCATTTTATATCGCTTCAACTCATAATCACAATTTTGGGGTGTAATTTTGATAAGCTGTGATAACCACCCTCTTTGTCTTTTTAACAGATGACTGTTTTTTAAAATAAAATACATGAATATWTTAAAATCTGCAACGAAATAAGTTGTCGAAATTAGGCTACATTAAATGACCCAATATAAAAAATATAACTATTTAAATAAAAAAAAATATATCATTAGAAGTTCGATACCAAAAATAACAACAATTACTTACAACTATACTAAATTTCATTTAAGTTCATTAAATTCGTAGTAAGTTGGWAAATGCTGATATTGATAATATTGAATCGCTTTTCCATGAGTTTAGGAAAAAAAAAACATTAATTTGGCGATAATTATACAATTTGTTGATATAGACACACTATAGAATTACTGATAGAATTTACACAAAAGAGCATCATAAGATACCTCCATAGACGTCGTTAAGTGTGCACATACGTATTATAATATAATCATGTTTGAAAATTGTGACCATTGCTGAAAGAGAGTAGTCCAAACTGCACTTACACTTCGTGTAATAGTGTTGTGTATTCACACGGTYGTTTATGGTAGTTAATCGCCATTACGGCAAGATGTGTATAATAATATCATACAATAATACGCAATGCCTTGAGGGCACGTTTGTTTTTATTTTTGTTGATTTCCGTGACCGAGACAAGTGGAGCCCAGTGTGTGCAGAGAAGAATATAGTAGAAATTGCCAATACTTTAATTTAATGATATTGTATTACGCGCTACAACACTCCGGAACTAGCATTACACGAAATAAAAGAAATTCTATGTACATATATGATTAGAGTAGTCACTTGTCAAACGTTAAAAGGTATTGATTTTGTGATGTGTATCGGTCATATAGYGAGGAGTCATCTGAGTGGTTTTTTTTGTTTGTTTGGCTCGGTCGAAACATAAACGACTATATAGATAGTTCCGTTGTCGTTTTAGTGATTAATATTTGATTTAGACGAAAACGTCTGCAGCGCTTAAATGGGTCGGAAGTCGTTTGAAAAATATATAAACCGATCCAGACGTAAAGTTGGCACAGTATTGTAATATTATTATACTACACTGCCGTCGGTATATCGAATAAAATACGAATCGCAAGTGATCGAAGTGACGGTGCAAAGGCACACGTAATAATTATTAATGACTAATTTATTACTATACAAATACCGCTAGCGATAGCGTTGTCGAGACAATGGACACGCGTATAATAATTAATAATTAAGTAATAATTAACTGTATAACTTATATTTTCGGCGGAAAATCTGACACTAAGATTAGACACGGACGGTAAACCAGGTTACGGCCGTAGTCATCGTATCGCATTAGATAGTTGTTGTAATCATAAGTTATATTATGATAAYACTATGTAGGTGCATTATATTTTCAGGGCGTCGCCCTTTTGATCGCATGGTACCGTTTTTTACTTTTTTTGTTACCCTAAAATAGACATGGGTAATATCAACTCKCTTATTCGGGTCATTTGAGCGCCGGCCCTCTTTTCACCTTAACATTTTCGTCTCACTGGTCTATTATAGCGTGAATCTTTACTGGTTTAAGACGTTTAATGAACAAAACAATTTAAAAAAATATATACATATTTCAAAAAATTATAATATATAATATTACATCACATTTTAGGAAATAAGAATAAATTAATTGGGCGACATAATTCTAGCTGGTATGTTGATGAATTTCAAATTAATTTTGAAATAGAACTCTGAAATAGTTTATGTATGTGCCATCTAATTAGGTATAGCATGGAAAAAAGTGAAAAAAGTTTATGTCGTTGCTCTTCTGGTTCTTATAATTTTTCAAATATTATAATCTAAAGATCTCTTTGTATGTAATAACTCTCCGGATCATAATTTTACTGAGCCGTTCCACCAATATTATTCGGCTTCGTTCCGTTTTTTTTTTTTTTTTTTACATGTATTTTTAATTTCCTGACGTAGTAATTAATTATGTTTGCTAATACCAGATGTTCACTATGATCGGTTTTCACTATTATTCGTCATTAAAGTCACAGTGCACGTATCCACCGAACTTTATAACGTTTGTCAATTTAGGTGTGTTTCAATAATTATTCCATTGAATCGATACCATCGTTGGTACTTTGGTACCAATCATTAATAAAACACTTTTTCTCGTTATTACTAAATACATAATATTGTCTTGTGCACTTCCGTCACGAATATAATGTGTGATGCTTATGGCTAAAACAAGTCATAAATGGAAACTAAAGGACGATTCAATCATCTATTTATAATATCGCTCATTTGGATTGCGAAATATATGTCCGGAACTAAACAACTAAACCTCCATTCTAAGAATGAATGTCGTAGAGTAGAATTCTTTCTTGTCATTTCTAGATAAATTAATTTTTCTGTTAAGTACTTTTTGTTAGTTCTGTGTTCATAATATCTATGGCATACATCTCTGACATTATATAGCGCCATTTTTTTTTTTTTTTTATTCATAAAGTTTTACTGACGAGATATAGCGCCATGATATTAGTCGTCGACATCGCGGTTACGAGGCTAATAATTCTATACCAAAATTCTCTCTCTGATTTCGGCTGTAATGTTACACATGAATAAATGGAACACACCATTACAAAAATCATCAAATGCTCGGGTGGGATGCGCACAAAATGGGGTAACTCATCGTCTGCAAATCAAAGTTTTCGTCCTCTGCGGACTAATGTTATTTTCAGGTGTATAATTCCGAAAAAAATAATAATATTGATATCAACGCGATCCAACTTATCCGAGCAGAACGAACAAGAACGTCACATTTCTATTATTAAACACAGACGTGTCAATTTTKATTTTAAAAGCTTACCTAACCAATTAGTCGTGAAAAGTATAAAATTTTAATTTCTGGAAACTCAGTCCCTACACCTCTCGTAWATTATTAAATAATATCGATTTGGGAGGTTTTAGCAATTTATAGTGTCACGTTGATGCGAATACCAACACCTACTGATTTCCACTAGTCCAGCTATGTGGCTGAAGTAAAATGATATAATTTCTCGGTGATGGACTTGATGATATTGGTATCCTATAAACCTATACCTACTTAGGTACCTGCTACKTTTTAATATAACTGTCTTAGTAGTCCGTAGTGTAGTAAAAGTTTGATACCTACTAAAAATGTGCGTGTCAATTGTACCTTAACATAAAAATAATAATATGCATTCATGACTTGAATTTCAACACACTAATATGAAATCGGTTATGGTG